TGTTAAAAATCTGCTACTACGTCACTTTGTAACATGACGAATTTAGTCATAATGACATGTAGAGTATTATCGAATTAGATAATAATGAAGGTGGAGTGGTAGTAGGAAAAGAGCTCAAACCGAGGACATGAAACCCGGACATTTTTTTGCGAAAAGAGGGTGCTCTTTCCTTTGACGGAGTGGCCAGGGATGGGCATCAATCATGTTGTTGAATCATATGAGAAAAGAAAAGAGCTCGGTGTCGTGATCTGTTTCAATTTTAATTTATCTGCATTTACTCAGTTGCTTTCAGTTTCTCATGTTTTTTATTGTATGTTTTGACATGAATCTCCCTTGCAGCTTTCCGGACAAGTTAGGTTGCGTCTAATAGTAGTAATTAAAGCAAGCATCTATCGATTAGATCTTGAGATTTTTGCTAGCTGTATGAATAAAATTTTTACCGCATTTTGTTAAATATCGTTAGAGGTAAAAAAAAAATAGGTAATCGAACTAATGGATCAATTCGAAGAGCGGAAAAGGGTTTTTCAGCTCAAGAAAGATGAGTTGGATCCGTAACATAAATTACTCCACGAAGAAATAATGCTGATGAAAGAGTACCTTGACAGAAAAACTAAAACTGCTGCAGACTTAATTTTGAATAAATGCACATAGGTTAAATTTGAATCATCTAAGGCTGGAAAATTTTTTGGAAGAATCTCTAACTGTAAAACGAAGCGACTACAATGAAATTGACGCGAATCAGTTTTGAATGAGCGAGAGCTGTTGTGTTCTGAATGAGCGAGAGCTTGCAAAATTTGGATGCTTCTCTTGCCAGGAAAATATAAAGTATGCAGACAAATTACAATGGAACAATGAGGAAGCGTGCTAGCTTTACAGGAAATTCTTTCTATGTAGAACCATTTTTTTAGGACGAGGGCAAAAAAGGTGAGGTAGTTGGCAATTTTGTTGACGATTCCATCGGTTGTCTGAAATTTCCCACGTTCAAGCGAATGAAGATTTGAAAATGTTCTGAGAAAAGAGTGAAATTAACCCGAGAAATCAGGCTGCAAATTGAACAAAAGTTGTTATGCAGATTTTATGGAATTTAACGCAAAAGATGATTGCATGTTCGAAGACAAATCTGCAATCAATGTTAAATGCAATCAATGTGTGGTGACGTGCACTTCATCCAAAGTGTGTTTACTCAGAATTAGTTTTTTCATTGTAACTACTGAAACTGTATTTGAGCACGATTGAAAAGTAAGGAGAATGTGGTTTCCACATCAGTACTTCAACGGCAAGGCTACAAGGCAGCTCGTATTATTAGTCGAATGGACTTGGGACGGTTTGGATGGCTGGTTTTTGGGTTGGAAATGCAAAAAAAAATCTTTTGAAGAGGACTAAAAACAAATTGTCAGAGAAACCAAAAGAGCGTTTCATAGTTTGCTATTTGGTATCACTAATGATAACTGGATCTAAAGAGTCAGTTTTCTGCACTTACAGTCTTGGTTTTCAGATATGGCATTCTTTGTCAAGATATAAATGAGAAAGTTCTATTTCGTAAAAGGTGTTTAAACGTATATATTGAATGAATGACGGAAAATTCTTCTTTTGAATGAATGACGGAAAATTTAATGCCAAATTTTTGCTGTCACAGGTCTAACAGGTTCAGAGCGATAATAGAGCTCAGCATTTAAGAAAGATCAAATCGATTCACCTTCAAAGCTAGACATCAATTGTTTATTTTTCCCCCAAATTTTTGCGTTTAAAGATTCATTTCAGTCTGGACCGAATAAACTGAAACAGCTGTTAGCGAACTGATTCGCCCTATGACATAACTTGAAACAAATTGATTGCTTTTTAAACTTAAACTTTTTGCGAACCGATCCCACCTATTAAAAACATCAATTATTTCGAAACTTTGAATGTTGAGTAGTTTGCCTATACAAACTTCCAAGTTTTTCTTTAATCTGAGTTAGCTTGCTTAGAAAGGTTTGAATTTTGATTCAATCTACGAATTAACTTTTAAGTAATTCAAAGTTTCATAGCTTGAATGGCGTGCTCGGAAAAACTTAAACTTTTGATAAGCTGTTTCAGTCTATAAATTAATTTGACATAATTCATTAGTTTACTAGCTTGCTCTGAAAAGTTTAAGCTTCTCGCGAACTGATTTGGTCTATAAAGTAACTTAAATTTTTCATTTTTGTAAGCTTGAGTAGCTTGCTTAGAAAAACTTTGACTTTGCGCGAACCGATTCCGTCTGGTAAAAACTTGAAAATTTTCAAAATTTTGATGACTGAGTAGCGTGCTTACACAAACTTCAAAGTTTTTTCTTTAATCTGAGTTAGCCTGCTTAGAATGGTTTAAATGTTTGGCAAACCGATTCAATCTACGAATTGACTTTAAGTAATTCAAAGTTTCATAGCTTGAATGGCATGCTCGGAAAAACTTTTGGCAAGTCGTTTCGATCTATGGAATAACTTGACTTATTTCATTAGTTGGGTCGCGACTTGATTTAATGTATGAAATAATAATAAATGTTTCAAAGTGTCATACCTTGAATATCATGTTCAGGAAAACCTTTTTTTCGCAAACTGTTTTGGTTTCTGAATTTTTTTTTCATGATTACATATATTTTAGTTTTTTTTCTCTGTCCAGCCTCGAGAAGATATTAATTTTGACAGTATGATGTGCAAATATCTACAAATCAGCTGGTTGATCTCATATGAGGAACACAAATGGGTGTAAATATCAGAAGGATACTGTGAATTGTGGATACAAACCAACAAGTTAACCGATTGAAACCACTTTTTGCTCAGCTTCAAGGTTCCATTCGGCATAAGTATCACAGTTGACCATTAGTTCACACGCATAAGTTTAATTTGTGAATCTCGCCAATAAATAAAAAAAGCGATCAATCTTTCTTAAGGGGAACACATCTTGTACCCAACCTTATCATTTTTACATGCGTAAATGCGTTCTTTGCATCTCCGTTGTATCTTTTAACTAAAAATATTGCAATTGTGCGAAACTTGAAGGAGAATTTAAGATTCCTTTTAATGCTTTGACTTTCAGTTTGACTACAGGGCCTTTTCGACCAGGGATTCACGGCCGAACTCTGACATGTGTCGAAACCTATTAAATATTTAGAGGCGGACTTCGCTATTTTAAGACGTTTAAATTTTTTCAACGTATTATTTTTGCATGTTTAACGAAAGATGTTTTTCACGTTTGAGCTATTTAGTATATTGCAATGGTTAACAATTTCGTTTGATTTTCCAGTTGAATTCATTATTTATTTAACCGAATTCAAACTCAGCAGCCTAGTAGTAGAAGGTTTCAGGTGTCTCCCAGGGGTTGCAATCTTGACCTCCAATTATGAATGCAAAAATCCTTTAAGTGTGCGAGACACGATGATTTATGTCGTTTAAAAAAAACTCAGAAAACTTTGTAAAGTAGTTCACAAAATTTGAAATTCCCAAACGTGTAGTTGGGTGCTGTCAGAGTACTCTCAAGCGAATCTTGCCTCAAATTATGACTGCCAATTAGTTTTTGAGATATGTTACTTTATGGTTTTTCAAGAAAAAACTTTGGAAAACTTAAATTTGAAGCTGTAGTAGGGTACTATGAGAGTACTCTCAGGAGTTGGAAATCTTGCGTCCAAATGCGACTGCTCATTTGTTTTCAATTTCTAACTAGCACTTTAGCTTCAAGTTATCTTGGATCTCTAGCGTAGAGGTAGGGAAGGACAACCGCAACAAAAAAGACGGTTCGAACCTGGGCAGGGTTTGATATTTTTAATGAATTTATTCGTATGCTAGTTGAAAGGCGTCCGCTCTAAAAGTTGAGGCATGTTTGTTGGCAGTTTTTTTTCTCAAATTGGCTCCTAATGCGTCATAATTGGCTTGCGTCACTTAGCAATTAAGTAAACTGATAATTGGCGTACGTCACTCAAGAAATTTTGCAGACTCCCAGTAGCGTTATCGGTAATATTTTTGCTTGTGTATGCGAAGTGCAACTTACTTCGTCTCTGTGTAAGTTGTTTCAACAGAACTAAGATGTAAAAACTTTGCGGTTTTATGTTTTTTTTTTTGGTTTTTCAAAGTTTGATTAAAAAAAAACTTGAAAAAAAAAACATTTAAGAAAGTTTGAATTGAACAACCTTGTAATTGGGTGCTGTCAGAGTACAGATCTGACAGGATGCAGATCTTATTTCCAGTATATGTTGTTTTCTGTAGTGTTTTTAAACATTCGAAGCACCGGAGGTGCGTTACACGCTAGTACTTCAAAAAAATATGTATTCTGTCCAAATTATTTCGCTTTCTGTTTTGTCGGCTCAGTGATCTAATTGGAGTAGTTTCATGGGACAGATTGTTTTTATGCTCACTGGATTACAAGTTGCTGAAATGTTTATAGAATTAATAGCTCAAAGTTTCCATGGCAACTGTTTTTTCTTTTTGTTTCGGCTTCTTAGGTTTCGGTCTTTATTTTATTGGATTATTTGCCTCTTATTGCGTCCTTCGACGCGGGAAAAAAATTTTTATCTGCGTTTTTTGAGGGGGAGGGGTCTTAAAATGTAAGTCTTGAGTTTTTATGATTTTTTTCGGCTTTTTAAATTATCCTTTTTTCGGTTTTAAAGGTTTGCCCATATTATGTCGGGTTAATGGCCTTTTATCCTTTCATCTTACGAGACAATAAAGTTTTGCGTGTGTGCGTGTTTTGAGAGTGAAGAGAGCTTGTTAAATTTTTATAAGTCTTGTAGATTTTTTTTTCGGCTTTAAGGGTTTCTGCTAAGGTGTTTTCGGCTTTGTTACAGCTTTGTAATTTTTTTTTCGATGCTAATTTGGCATTCTATTGCCTTGGCGTTTTTTCAAAACTAGCCTTATTCATTTTGATGGATCCAGTTTTTCGATTTTTTTCCGACTTAGCGGCTTTCATGTTTTGCATTGCAAGTGGTGGGAAGCTCAGCTTCGCCTGTGTCAATTTTGGCATTCAGGGATATAAATGATCTTTTCAGATTTCAATTGATGGCTCTCACCCTTGGCTATTGGAACATCCGTGGTCTTGCCGAACAGATCCGACTTGTTCTGGAGTACCTGGAGATTCCTTACGAGCAGAAGATATACACTCGCGAAGAATACCAAGAATGGTTTGCGAAGGACAAACTTGAACTGGGAATCGATTTTCCTAATTTGCCATATCTGATTGACGGAGACTTCAAAACATCACAATCATGTGCAATTTTGAAATACCTTGGCCGGAAACACGGATTATTTGGCGGAGGTTCGAACGAGTTAATAACGAAACAAGAGGCAATGTTGGACACTGTTCATGATATGCGAAATAGGTTCTCGAAGCTTTGTTACGGCGATGATTTCGAAGCGAAAACACCCGAATATTCGGAATACTGTGTGAAAATGCTCAAACAGTTCGAAATGTGGTTTGCAAGCAAGAAATATTTGCTTGGTGACAAACTGTACGTTGGAGATTTCTACATGTACGAGGTGTTAGATATCAATGAAGTCTTTGATTCGAAAGTGTTGGAGCCGTTTTCGAATGTAAGGAGGTTCAAAAAAGACATCGCATCTTTACCGCAGATCGAAAAGTATCTGAAAAGTGACAAATTTAAGAAGTTTCCGATTAATGGACCATCGGCTAAATGGGGTGGAGGCAAAGAACAGTGAGTGCCGAACTAAAAACGACTGATACAATTTTGTAAAATTGTATAAAAAATTACTTAAATTACTCCGATGCACGTGGGAATTTTTCCAATGACTGAAACCTGTTTGCTCAATGATGCATATCTTGACTTTGCAATATTAAGTAAATTTAAAATTTAAATACTTAAAAACCTAGATACTTAATTTAAAAATATGTGGGTGTGTGACCAGTTTTTTGTCAAGAATTGTAGCGAGCGGATCAGGAATTAACTTTAATTTTCTAATAGTTGAGGCGGTGATTTTTACATGCTCCTTACCCCAAGAAGACAATTTTTTGAATTAGTCAAAAGAAATGCCTATTTTAGGCGCCCTTAGAAAATCAAAGCTGTGCGCTTTAGGTTCATCAGAACATTTTTGTAATGAAGACAACCTAATTGTATGAGAACTTCTGACAAAGTATAGTGAATCGGATGTTTGCTTGTGTTCTGAAAATATCTTTGTTGTTTTTAAATTGAAACCAAGTTTTCGAGAAAAATTATAAAAATATTTATGAAGTGAAAATTTCCTCGAAATTTACTCATTAAAACCCAGTATTTATATTATACCTAACAATTTTTATCAACAAGGACGCCGAAACTGAGAAAAAGTTCACGGAAGTGAATTTTATGATCACTTGTTCGCTTTGCCACAATATCTTGTTCGAACCACGCACACTGCCTTGTCATCTGCTGTAGATCTCTCAATATATGGACTATGGTAAGTTTTCAAAATCAACAACTAAAATACGATCATTACTGAAGGCAGTTATCATGAAGCAGATGACATGCAATTATTGGAAAAGTCAGAGGCACCATAAAAGGGTATGAATTATTCTCTTGATTCAAGGAGCTGCGCTGTAGGGTGTTTTACAAGATTTCAAAAAACTTTAAACATGTCCTGATGAGGACTAATTAGTAAAACAAGGTATTCAGCTTGCATCTAGATCATTTTCGACTAATTTCTAGGTTTTTGAACTGATTCGTCCAATTTTTACCCTTGCGAAAGTAATTGGCTTGTAATAAGGAACTACAATTTTTCCCCGTAAGAAACTGTTACAAATCTTACTTGCTTTTGTTAGTTCGTTTATTACTCAACGTGACTTTTTCCCACAGGTAAAGTGGGCGCCTATGTAGTGTACGGTCTGGGATTGAGTCCCGGCGGGACTTTGTTCTTTTTTTTTCAGTATGTATGAATTAATTTTTTTTCGGTGTAAAAAGAATTACAGGAATTTTGCTTGTCTGCCCAAGCTTTGTCGGAATATGACGACTGTTTTAAGAGTCGATGAACGTCGTTCAGACTCTTATATATTTCGTGATTTTTGATTTTCGCGGTTTAATTTTTGATATCTTTTTATGATAGTTCATTTTATTTGTTGAAAAAAAGGCAAACGTAACTATCGAACAGCGAAATGGTAAAGGTCACGAAAAACAAATTGGGTTACTTTCAAATAACAAAAGTGTCAACCATAATTTTTGTTCAAAATTCAAAGAACTAAAGGCAATCTATTGTTTTCCTTTGAAATTCGAAAGTTGAGATTTTTTCAACAAGCAAGGCTGGCTGTAATTTTTTCTGTTTACTGGTATTCAATGACTCTTGTTCATTGTCTGTTGGTTTTGTTTTTTTGCTGTAATCTTTTTTTCATAGTTAAAAGTCTTGTTTATAGTAGTTTTATGGGGGACTAAAAGCTTTCAAAAATCTTTGTTTTTTCGACTGATGTCTGCTCGCAGATTGTCGGCTTTGTTTGAGTTTTGTAAGGTTTGCTCCGTTGCTAATTTAATAATCAAATATTTTCCTTGTCATTTTTGCCTCGCATGCACATTCATCGAGAACAACGAAAATTTTGTTAGACCTAGTTTTTTTCATCAATTTTTTCGACTTACATATATTTTTTGTTTGTTTAGTCTCAAATTGGAATGTAGACATTCTTCGGGCTAACGACTAGTTTAACAACATCAGTTAGAGCGCGGATGACTATGCTGCTGTGAAGCTATGCAGCACTTATGAGACACTATGCAGCTGACATGCTCAACCTCATGAAAATACAAATTTAACTACTGGGTGGGTACAAGTTACTACAGAGTAGTTTCAGGACGACTTTAAACTTTTCAAAGTTTACAACATAATCAGATGTTTTTTTTGGCTCAACTGTAGTTTACTAAAATATTGTCGGCCTTACTTCCGCGTCGTAAGTTTTGTTCAGTTACTAACTTGAATTTCAAATGTCTCAGACATTTAGTTTCAGAAACCGTCAATTTTCAAAAAATGGGATTCCATTTAAAAAAAAAATGTTTTTTTTTTCGTTGGCTCAAAAACTAATCTACCAATTTTGAGATTTTGATTTCAGTGAACAGAACGGATTTGAAATCTACCCTCAATTAGCGGCTACGCGCAAACGTTTTTGAGTTTTTGATTTTTTCTGCTAAACTAACCTCCCAAATCTGAGGTTTTCGGTTAATTGGAGATAACGGGTAGTAGGAAGTTCCCCTGACTTAGCGTCTGCTCACATTTTTTTACACATAAAATTATCGTTCTCAGATCAGTCACTTTGTTACACATAAAGTTATCGTTCTCAGATCAGTCAGTTATCGTTCTCAGATCAGTCGATATCTGAGATTTTGGGTTCAATCTATAAACGGGTTGTGGGAAGCTCAGTTGCATACGCGACTCTGTCTAAATTATTTGACACAAAATAATATGGCCCTCAGAAAAGTCACACTTTTGATTTTTTGGCCGTTGTTCGAAATTTTTTGAAATTTTCCGACAACTACCCTGCCACTACTGGGATTTTGGTTTTAATCGGACTTACAGGTTGGGCGAATCGCTTCTGCGCAAACAGGTATGCCCAGTTTTTTTAAACAAAAAGGTATGGCTGTTGGAAATGTCAACTTTCTGAGTTGTTGACCGTTTTTTGGACTGTTTTTGATAGCTAACTGCCACATCTCATATCATAGGTTTAAACGACGCAGCAAGTTGTTGGAAGCTTACCTTCATAATTTGCTACGCCCAGTTCCTTCTATACTACTCCTTAATTTTTTGTAAAAATTTTCTTTTGTTGTGTATATGTTCACCTAGTTTTTTTCAACATATTTCATTTTTTTCAATTGATGTTTTCTTATGATTGTTCTGCGCTTCTGTGTAAAAAGTTCCGCTCTATATCTCTCGGTCAAAAATTTTCTTAATCGAGTTTTTAAAAAAACAGCTACGCCCTTATTTTTTGTTCGGTTTTTCCTAATTTTTTACCCTTGCGATAAACAAGGGTGTTGCAATCGGGTTTTAGATGTTTTTCCCCTAAACAACTTTGTTCACAGGATATTGATCATCTCCGTCTTGACTTCCATCATTGGACAGACAATTTTTGCGCGTGCCTGAATTCTTAAATCCCGTTTAATTTCAAATTTGTTTTTTCAAAAAATTGGCTGTCATTTTACGACACTCCGATATCAGTACATCAATTTTTTCTGCGTTTTTATTCTCTTTTTCCAGCTTAAAAATTTTCAGCTTACAGTTTAATGGCTCAGAGACCCCTTTTTGAGTCGTTTGAGGAGCAAAATTTATTAAAGTGTTTTGAGAGGACTTAAATTTTTTCGAGTTTTAAAGCTCTTCCAATAAAAACTTTTTTTTTCGGTGCAAGTTGTGTCTGCTCGTTTTTTATCTAAAGTTCATTTGCCTTACTTCTTGTCTTGTTTTCTTAAATTGATTTTTTAATTCTAAGTAATAACCAAGACATGCAGAAATATTTTTGGTAGAGTAGTGTTTTCGATATTTTTAGTAGTAACAGTACAATTTATGGGAAGCTGCAGTGACTGGTTGGCGTGGTTCCCCCTATTTTATTCTAAACAACTCAACACCATGCAATTTCATTACCTACTTATTGTTGCCTTACACCGTTTTATTCCAAAATGAAAAGAAAACATACTTCAAAGGGGTCTTTTGTAAAAAGCAGAGAATTAAACGATAAATTTTTTTGCCTATCAAAGCGAGACAATTTCGCTCTATCTATTTCGCATTCGTTTTCAACAGAAACGATCATACCAACAGTTTCAATGAGTCCTTCTAAAAGGAAACGAAATGACTTGGCCAATAATTTCAATTAATCGTTCCAAATTGAACCAAAAACGAGCAATACTTCAATGAACTTTAAAGGCTCGCAAATAATTAGACGGCTATTGACAAAAATAAAACTTGTCAAACACTTTCAACCGGTTTAGAAATGTAAAAAAGTTTAATTAACGCAAAAGTCTAAAATCAATCATTTTTAGAATCAATCTCGAAGTTAAATCTATATCCTGATTGCTTTGTCAGTTTTTTTTTGAATTGTTGGCGCACAACTGCAAAACTAAAGGGTTTTTCAGCCCCTAGCACCAACCTAGCAACCCAAAAACAAGTGCGATTGTCCTGGGATTAAATTGTTAATGCACGAGTCAAGTTCTTGCATGTCGTTACGTTTCCGGGAGTCTGCAAGGAAACGTCTGTTCAGAAAAAGTTGACACAAGTTTAAGTAGGATTAAAATTTGAACTTTAATATTACAAAAGAATAAACAAAAATATGAAAAAGATTACACTAGCTTAACTCAAACTAGACAACGCTCTGAAAAAGTACAAATCATTTTTGTTTTCGTAAACGCACATCACGTTTTGTTATTTTTACTTAAATACACGGTATTTGTGAACTTATGGCCAATCGATTCATCGAGAAAAAAAAATAATTACGGAGGCGTTTGTTCGCAGCTGCCCACTAGTTTCCCCATTTTCGGGTGGGCTCCGCTGAAATAGGATTGGATGCCGAAATGCCAGCCTGTGGCAGCATTTGTTGTTCTAGTATCTAGCAGACCGGAAGCTATAAGAACTGGCTTTTGGCTTGTTATCAGATGAAGCTGTGAATTGGAAAGAAGACTCAATCATATTTTGTTTAGTGTGTTTGCGTTTGTGTTCGTGCTTGCGATTGTCAAATTTTATATTTGTCATAATTTACATCTAATTTTTATGAACTAGCACAAGCAGGTTTTTTTGGTAATCATAATGATTCTGTGAAAAATCTAATTGAAAAAAGTAAAGAACTTGTCGATAAGAGTCCGAATTAATTATTTCAGGAAGACTCATTTCAGTATGTATAACTGTAGCATGCAAATAAACCAAGTTTTTCAATATGATGCGTGCGTTTATTGCAGGATTAATTTTGGTGTGATAA